GAAGGCGACGGCAGAGAGCAAGATGGATACGATGATAACAATAAATGCCCAGTTAGGTACATGTTCACGAGCCTTCGATCCTTCTCCCATAGTAGAAACCGTTGGTTGTCTTGCCTTCACATCCATTATATTTAATAATTCAGCCACCAGTTGTTCAGCTTCCGCACTTCCGTACTTTTCCCTGAGCTGAAATAAGTGCTGGTATTTCCTATACTGCCATATCTTGCGATCAAACATCGAAGTCGATGCAATCACCATTTCTGTTTTTTTTGTAAGTATAGTTTTATACCATTAAGCCTCAATGAACAATAAAGTATTGAAATTGATAAGTGTAAAGTAAAATCGAAAATAATTTATGTCAATTGAGTTTCTCCCACAGCAGGCTTCTCCCACAGGAGTAGGACATCCAAAAAATCTCCTTTTAGTTGCTACTTTTTAAATAATCTATTACCTGAATTTAGCTTTTATTCATTACCTAACGAAATGAAATACTCCTTTTACTTCTTTTGGTACCTTTCTTCCTTTCATTGTCATTCTCAGAAGGCTATCTAGCATATTCAGGCAACATCTTGAAAAAGCTGTTTAAATTCAATTAACTAAACTACAAAACTTTAACCATAGAACTTGCAAAAACAGGAAAGCATTAAAAGAAAATGAGAACCCATTCCCCATTTACGTCATCTCTTATCCACAGCCCTCTTCTCAAGCTTTTAATCAATTAAAAGGAAATTACTGTTATCCTTCATCATTCAAGTACCTTAATGCTATGGAGGAAAAGTAGAAAGGTGCAAACTTGAAACATAAAAGAAATACGCGCTATGCATCAAAGTTCACAATTCTATTTTAAATTTTAACGCTGATTGACGAAACTATTCTACTACAACACTTAAAATTAACGTGACAACTAATCTGTTTTCAAAATGTCAGTAGTGACTCTCATCGACTGAATATATTCTGTGAATGAATGATTTTCAGTGGCGCACCCTAAACAAGTTTGTTGAGAAAGTACTAGCAGAAGAGATAGCTTAGGCCCTATTTATTTTCACTCTCTCTGCCAGGCCCTTCTCCGCCTTGCCTTTTCAAACTTTCTCATTGATTCCGCAATTTCCTCTTCGCCAATCACACTTCTGCCGATGCATTGACAATTCCATAACCAATTTACACTTCTTCTTTTAAATTATCATTAACGAGTATCTGGTAGATCGCTCATCTCTAATGCATGAATAAATTTTCAATAAACTTGCTCCAAACACACAGCACAAGAAGGACGCATACGCTCAGGATGAATGAAATGCTTTTATCTTGCAATTTGCTTCTTCATCCAAATGTCAGATATTGTGGCTACTGGGTCATAGACAGCAGACAGTCTTTTTAGACCTTATGAGGACAGTATACTCAACAGATTGGTACTGGTGGAAGAAAACTAATGATAAATGATAACATAATACATCAGTGACAATTGTTGTTTTTCCAGGACACTAGGGAAAACCATGCGGAAAAACAGCATAAAAGAATGTCATTCAGGAATGAGTCATTTGCTTCTAATATCACCCTCGAAAATACCATTAAACTTCCCTTAAATCCTCCACGAGCGACATGTTTTCGCGAATTAATAGTGTTTTAAATACCAGCCCTTATTTTATTTATTTGCTAATGAATTCAATTTTTTCAACAATGCCGTCTAACATCTGCTATCATTTTAAAGAGTCCGAAATGCAGTTGCAGATTCGATTTAACACAAATGTAGTGGTAACACGAGTACTTATAAATTGCCCTCAACTACTATAACTTCATCTGATGACTGGCCACCTTTAAGCAGAAAAAATCAAATCTGTTTGATTGCTTCCGTCTTGCATCATACCAAATCATCACTGATGAATCATGCCGAATATTTTTTTGCACAACCTCATTTACATGTAACGTGAAGTCGGAAAATCAACGTTTTTTATAACTCGCCATCGGGATTTAACATGTAAAAATGATATTGGTGTTGTCCACAGAATTGCGCACGACCTCACAACACTAAATGTTAAACCAGAAGTACGTGGGCCTATAATGTAATGTAGTAATTAATAATTAATTAATCAAT